TCAAGAGAGGATGGAAGATAGATATTGACAACAATGAAACCAGACTCTTTTTTCAAGTGAACCATCCAGACCTTATCAAAGAGGTCTGTGACATGGCCAAGAAGGGTGTCCTGAGCCAAGATGTCCTTTCATATATGCTCTCTACAGTTGATCTGGATCTCTACATCAACAAGTCAAATGATGGGTTTGGGGCGAAGAAACAAGATGAAAAAACTTGTTATGCAAATGCATCTGCCGCTGTTTTACACCTTGCCATGAAGCGCATCATAGAGCGAGATGGCGGTTATCCAGATTTCTTTGAAGTGAGGCGTGAATTGATTGCTAAATATGGAGAGCACGGAGCCACAACCAAAAGAGTTCTTGAAGAAGTTTGTCCAAAGTATCGTCTGAAGTGCAAAGAGGTAGATGCTATTGATGCTATGAAAGCTGTCTCTGAAAAAAGACCAGTGGTTGCAAGATTTTCTCTGAGTGGAGCCCAGTGGGATCAGTTCTACCAGTTCTATGAGCAAAATCCCAAGGGAATCCTTACAAGATCCTACCTTGATTCAAAGCATCACCCTACAAGCAGCCGTGGTGGCCATGCNGTTCTACCAGTTCTATGAGCAAAATCCCAAGGGAATCCTTACAAGATCCTACCTTGATTCAAAGCATCACCCTACAAGCAGCCGTGGTGGCCATGCAGTAGTTCTGACAAGTTATGATGCCGAGAGCTTGCGTCTGATGAATTCATGGGGGGATGACTGGGCAGACAATGGGTTCTTCAGGGTGCAGAATGCAAATGTCCTACCAGGCCTAAAATTCTTTGACGTGTTCTGGACTTCGGACGACTTAAGTCCAGAAGAAAAGAGAGTCAAAAAACAGCATGGTCCTAAAATTGCTGCCAAATTGATGAGATCACTGAAAGGAATTCAGGCAGCCAAATACAAGTGTCCCTTATGCACTGTTGAATCAAAAGTAGTGGATTACTCTGGCCATCTACTGGGAGCAAATTGTCCTTCATGCAGAGGAACTTTCAATGCCAATGATGCAGGTGGTGACTTGGCATTAAATCTATATCTGACATCATTGATGCACTAGGTGCTTCTGACTGTTGAAGTACAGTCAACTTACTCTCAGTCAAAGGGATATATAAACCTGACAGACTTGGCCATCAGCAGAGAGTGGCTATGTAAAGAATGTAATATTTAAGGGCTAAAAGTAGGGCAATAAGTTCTAGATAGTTAGGTTTTCTCCTGTCGTGTGGGGGGGAGGGAACTTCCATAAATTTCGGATATGTGTGTGCTGCAAAGGGTCTTCTAAAAACCCTGACCCTATTTAAGGATGATGGACATGGAAAATGTCACCCTATTTAAGGCCCAAAGCCAAAAAATGACACCCTATTGAAGGGAAAATCAAATGCTAAGAATAGCGTGCATGGGCTGGCTTTATTTCGTTTCTGGAACACTCTAAGTTAACCAAAGGTTCAGTTCTAACAGATCATTTGTATTTTGTTTAGCTGGGCATTTATGCACTGCAATTTTAGCTGATACAACTTTGGTACCCTATCTAAGGATCACATCTGGAACACAATATGCCAAGAGGGATAAAAATGATACCCTATTTAAGGATCAAGAACCTCAAAAACCCTACCCTATCCTGTGGCACATAGCCCATTTATGGGAGTACNCCCCCCCCCACCCTTCCAGCTCCTGTCATTTCAGTCTTCTGTAAATCTTGCTCAGCTCCGTAGCAAGCAGACGTTTCAAGTCTGAATTGCAGAATTCAAAATGTCACCATGCAGTCAGGGTGAAATGCGGCAGAGTTTGTCATATTGCAAAATTTGCAAATAGTATTTCACTGTTCTTTTGTTGCTTATTGTATGTAAAATTTCAGATATCAACAGAAAAACTTGTGGATATAAAGGAAATCAAACTGATTCAATCTACCACTCTGGTTGTCTAATTCAAGGAGAAGTTGAATGCCATTTGTCATAAATTTGTTTTTAATCTTTGGCCTAGTTGACTGTTGCTTTTTCTGTGTGCAACCAGGCTCTTAATCTTTTTTTAATCAGGTCAAGCACTGTCTGCACTCTGTGCTGCCAAAGGTGGTGCAGAACAGTGTCATTTTGTTGGGAAAATGTAACATTTTTACAGATATATTAGGTGTTGAAGAAATCCACAAACAAATTGCACACTGAAGATGTTTATTCTGTTACTCGTCCTTCCGTCGGTTTGGTACAGCTGAAAGTTACAAATGTAAAGCTTGCGACTCAAACAAATATTGAATTACAAAAAAAACAATACAAATGAGCGACCACTTACATATTTTTGGGCATCTTCAGGCCTAATCAAGATGTCAACATCGAGAAAGTNTTTTTTTAGTGGGACACCACCAGCAGCGCTAACTCGCTGAAAACGCTTCCAAACGGCCTCAAACACCGTGAAACAACAAAGAATACGACAGCAAAGCAAGATAAGTCAGTTTTATTCACGCCAGCTTTTTGGAGCTTTTCTCTATCACAAGATACCGAGGCTGTGGAAATTTAACATATAAAGAAGAGGTAATCTGGTTTTTCAGCCTATGGCCGGCGGCAACTGTGTTCAGACCAGCTTATAAGTAGACAAAACTTTAGAGAAACGCTCTCAAGTGGACGAGCATCTCTCCCTTCTCCTGACGGACACATTTTCCCGCATTGTGGGAGACTTTGTGCCGAACACTGAAGTTTCGAAAACTTAAATGGTCAAACAAAATCCCAGGACGATAGTGGGAGAGCTTTTCTACCTTATCCTTTAAGTACAAAGCGTGAAAATTCACAGTACATGTTGTCAATGGGGTAATCCTTTACGAGTGAAACGATGGTAAATGTTGAAGAAATCCACAAACAAATTGTACACTGAAGATGTTTATTCTGCTACTCGTCCTTCCGTGTTCGGTACAGTTGAAAGTTACAAATGTAAAGCTTGCGACTCGAACAAATATTGAATTATCAAAGAAAAAACAATACAAATGAGCGACCACTTACATATTTTTGGGCATCTTCAGGCCTAATCAAGATGTCAACATCGAGAAAGTAAAAGGCGAAGGTGAAAGCAAACTTTCCGCCTACACACAAAACAACGCACATCCAACAGCTAAAAGAACATGTCGCAAAAGTCACGTGACCCGCACAAGCGGGGTACAGAGGGGCACGGTAAGGCAAACTGTCTCTAACAGTAAAATCATCCGGTCTTTCTTTGTAAGAGATTTTGCGTCATCAGTAGTTAATTAAAATTGAATGCTAACTTGCGATCAGGTGATACAGGATTTCTCGGAAAGACACGACCAGATTGCTGTCGTTCAATCTTTAGAAAAATCAAACAGTCAAACAAAATCCCAGGACTATAGTCGGAAACCTTTCCTACCTTGTTCTATAAAGCGTTAAAATTCACAGTACGTGTTTTCAACTCGGTAATCCTTTACAGATTAAAACAATGGTAAAGTCATCTGGTCTTTCTTGGTAAGAGGTTTTGTGTGATCAATGGTCAATTAAAATTCACTAACAGCTTTCGATCACGTGATACAGAATTTCTCGGAAAGACACGATTGGTTGCTTTCGTTCAATGTTTAAAAAAGTTAAATGGCCAAACAAAATCTCTGGACGATAGTGGGAAACCTGTCCTACCTTGTTCTACAAAGCGTTAAAATTCACAGTACATGTTGATAACTTGGTAATATAATCCTTTACAGAGTGAAACAATGGTAAAGTCATCTGGTCTTTCTTGGTAAGAGGTTTTGCGTCATCAATGATAAAATGAAATTCACCGTACGGCTAACTTGCAATCAGGTGATGAAGAATTTCTGGGAAAGACACGATTGGTTACTCCCGTTCAATGTTTAGAAAAATCAAATAATAAAACAAAATCCCAGGATAATAGTGGGAAACCTTTCCTACCTTGCTCTACAAAGCGTTAAAATTCACAGTACATGTTGTCAACTCGGTAATCCTTTGCGGAGTGATACGACGGTAAAGTCATCTGGTCTTTCTTGGTAAGAGGTTTTGCGTTATCGATGGTTAATTAAAATTAACTCCTAACTTGCGATCACGTGATACAGAATGTCTCGGAAAGACACGATTTGTTGTTCTCGTTCAATGTTTACAAAAATTAAATGCCCAAACAAAATCTGAAATCTGTTGTGTCGTAAGATCATCCCAAATAACGGGAGAAAAAAACTGCTATAATTGTAACAACCTGAAATAAGTGTAAACCTTTCTAAGATCAAAATAATTTTACCTTGAAGTCAGTGTGCTTTCCAACTTTAACAGCTTGAGATGAAGGGTACAGCCAATAAGATTGACGCCAGCGTTTTGGAGCTCTTCTCTATCCCAAGCTACCGAGGCCGTGGAAATTTAACATATAAAGAAGAGTTAATCTGGTTTTCCAGCCTATGACCGTTGGCAACTGGTTTTCAGACCAGATTATAAGTAGACAAAATTTTAGAGAAACGCTCTCAAGTGTACGAGCACCCCTCCCCTGTCCTGACGGCCACATTTTCCAGCATTGTGGGAGACTTTGTGGCGAACAATAATGTTTCGAAAAATCAAATAATAAAACAAAATCTCAGGACAATAGTGGGAAACCTTTCCTACCTTGATTGTACAAAGCGTTAAAATTCACATTACATGTTGTCAATGCGGTAATCCTTTACGGAGTGAAACGATGGTAAAGTCATCCGGTCTTTCTTGGTAAGAGGTTTTTTGTCATCAATAATAAATTAAAATTGACTGCTAACTTGCAATCAGGTGATACAGAATTTCTCGGAAAGACACGACCTGGTTACTCACGTTCAATGTTTAGAAAAATCAAACGGTCAAACAAAATCCCAGGACGATAGTGGGAAACCTTTCCTACCTTGTTCTACAAAGCCTTAAAATTCACTGTACGTGTTGTCAACTCGGTAATCCTTTACAGAGTGAAACAACGGTAAAGTCATCTGTTCTTTCTTGGTAAGAGGTTTTGCGTGATCAATAGTTAATTAAAATTTACAGCTAACTTTGCGATAAGGTGATACAGAATTTCAGGTTACAATCGCTTCCATTTTCGAAAATTCACCGGTGGACTACAATTTGGTATGAATTAAAAAATTCGCGATTGTTTAGTCCGATTGTCGATTCGTGTGTAATTTAGTACTTTTCATAATGTGCTTTACTTCAGTTTTAGAGGATGGAAAGGAAAGGCCTTTTGATGCAACTGTAAATTGAGAAGTTAGCTTACCGACAGGAATGTCAAACTGACTGTTGTGTCGTAAGATCATCCCATTTATTAAACGGAAAAAAAAACTGCTATAATTATAACAACCTGAAATAAGTGTAAACCTTTCTAAGATCAAAATAATTTTACCTTGAAGTCAGTGTGCTTTCCAACTCTAACAGCTTGAGATGAAGGGTACAGCCAATAAGATTGACGCCAGCTTTTTGGAGCTCTTCTCTATCACAAGCTATCGAGGCTGTGGAAATTTAACATATACATTGAAAANATGAAAAGGAAAGGCCTTTTGATGCAGCCGTGAATTGAGAAGTTAGGTCACCGACAGAAAAGTCAAACTGACTGTTGTGTCGTAAGATCATCCCATATAACGAAAAAAAAGTGCTATAATTATAACAACCTAAAATAAGTGTAACCCTTTCCAAGATCAAAATAATTTTACCTTGAAGTCAGTGCGCTTTCCAACTCTAACAGCTTGAGATAAAAGGTACAGCCAATAAGATTGACGCCAGCTTTTTGGAGCTCTTCTCTATCACAAGCTATCGAGGCTGTGGAAATTTAACATATACATTGAAGAGGCAATCTGATTTTTCAGCCTACAACCGTAGGCAACTGGTTTTCAGACCGAATTATGAAAGACAAAATTTCCGGGAAACGTTCTCAAGTGGGCCTCCACCCCTCCCCTATCCTCACGGACACTATTTCCGCACTATGGGAGACTTTATGGCAAACACTAACGTTTCGAAAAATCAACTGGTCAAACAAAATCCCAGGACGATAGTGGGAAACTTTTCCTGCCTTACTCTTTAAGTACAAAGCGTTAAAATTCACAGTACATGTTGTTAATGCGGTAGTCCTTTACAGAGTGAAATGATGGTAAAGTCATCTGGTTTTTCTTGGTTAGAGGTTTTGTGTGATCAATGGTTAATTAAAATTAACTGCTAACTTGCGATCAGGTGATACGGAATTTCAGGTTAATATCGCTTCGATTTTCGAAAATCCACCGATGAACTACAATAATGTATGAATTAAAAAATTCACCATTGTTTAGTCCGATTGTCGATTCGTGTGTAATTTAGTACTTTTCATAATGTGCTTTGCTTCAGTTTTAGACGATGGAAAGGAAAGGCCTTTTGATGCAACTGTAAATTGAGAAGTTAGCTTACCGACAGGAATGTCAAACTGACTGTTGTGTCGTAACATCATCCCATTTATTAAACGGAAAAAAAACTGCTATAATTATAACAACCTGAAATAAGTGTAAACCTTTCTAAGATCAAAATAATTTTACCTTGAAGTCAGTGTGCTTTCCAACTCTAACAGCT